GGTAGCATACTTATCTTTTTAAGTTCTTTCAATAAATCTGTTGCTGGTACAGTGTCTTAAGATGTAAACAGCTTCTTTTTCAGAGCAACCTTCACACTGGTAGCCATTTTATTAAACGGGTGTGGTTTACCTTGTTCTAAAAATAGTAAACTCATTAAGCTATGCAGGCTATAGTGATTTTAATTAAATGCGTGGGTGTTGCGCGCTCCTACCCTTCCCTTTTTCTTTTATGGGCTCCTGGTGGCACTAAGCACAGGATTGAGCGTCCCAATCAGATTGCAGCACTCACGTGGAAGTAACTTTGTCAGGTGATAGTAGTGTGACTATAACTGTAATAAAATGGCTGCTCATGGATTCTGCTCTTGATTCTGCTATCGATGCAGCAGGTAGAAGGCTAGGATACGAAACAGTAAAGGAAGATCAGAGATATGTGATTAGATCATTCTTGGAAGGGAAGGACGTGTTTGCTTGCCTCCCAACAGGATATGGGAAGTCACTATGCTACTTTATTCTGCCACTAGTATATGATATTCTCCAAGGACACAGCTCTCCTTGGTTTGTCGAGATAGTAATTAGCCCTCTACAAGCCTTGATGAAAGATCAGGTCAAGTCATTACAAGATAAAGGTATGACAGCTGTCAGTGTTATGGGGAGAGAAGATGAAGAAACAAAGCAGGGAATTGTCTCCGGTAGATATCAGGTAGTATTTACCACACCAGAGCTGTTACTTCAAAATAAAGATTGGATTCATGTATTTCAAAGTGCATCACTTACAGAAAGATTGATCGCCATTGTTATAGATGAAGCACACTGTGTTAAAAAATGGTAAGGTTTTTGATTCTATTTCAGTGTAACATTTAATATAATTATTAATAGGGGTTCAAACTTTAGAAAAGAGTTTAGTAAGCTGGGAGATTTACGAGGATTTTTTCCATCACATTTACATTTCATGGCGTTAACAGCAACTGCATCACAGACAACAAGGAAAAGTGTAATCAAACTGCTCGGAATGCACAAACCTGTTACGATATCGAAATCACCAAGTAAATGTAACATAATTTATTTTGTCACAGAAAAAGCTGATGAAATAGAAGTGGAATTGGCATACTTAGTTGATGAATTGCGTGCTTACCGTACCAACACTACTAAAACAATTGTATTTTGCCGAACATATAATGATTGTTCTCGTCTATATATGTTCTTCAAGTCACAATTGAAGGACGAAATGAGAGAACCCATCGGACATCCAGATGTTACACAGTTTCGACTGGTTGATATGTTTATAGCCACCAACACAGCAAGTGTCAAAAATGCCATTTTGAAATCATTTTCAACCAGTGGTGGAAGATTAAGGATCCTTATTGCCACGATTGCATTTGGGATGGGCATTGATTGCCCTGACATACATCGAGTTATTCACTGGGGACCACCTTCTGATTGTGAATCGTACATTCAGGAAACTGGGAGAACAGGTCGGGATGGCCTACCATCAAATGCAACTCTTTATTATTCACGCAGAGACATAGGGGTCATGCATTTGGACAAGAGTATTATTGATTACTGCCAAAACAGAACGGTGTGTCGTAGGCAAGTGTTGTTTAAAGACTTTAATTATGACCCGGCAACCAAACCAATTGATTGTAAATGCTGTGATTTATGTATTATGATTTGTCAATGTGAGAATTGTGATTTTACATTAAATGAATAAAACAAAATTTATTGAGTGAGTTTCACTAACTGTTCCTGCAACCAAGACACCAAATGTTCCTTATTTACACTGGACATTGTATTACCCTTGAAAGATTTAAATTGTGAGTGCACTCTCCCTTTGCTTTCGATAAACACCTGAGTTGTATTGAGTTCATCAAACGAAGAGGCGGGGCCAGACTAGCTGAGGTGTTGAGTGTAGAAGCTCAATGAAGTTCATCAAGTATGAACAGTTACTGGTGATATATTTTACACATTGTGTATTAGGAATCAGAAGCAACAGCTCCACCTCCTCCTGCTAAACCAGGACCAGAGAAAAGGTATGAATGTATTTTTATGTTGTTTCATTATTATTACGTAGTACTATTATTGTGTATAAAGTTTGAGTTGATTCTGATTAAAATTAGATTTTTACAAATTTCTAAAGTTGCTCCACAATCACAAACTTTTTTTTTCAAAATTGAAGAAAGAGAATTTACATTGTGTTCATACATTTTTCTCATTTTCTGATGCACATACACATGTACATGTACTTGTGTTGTGTAGTAAATTTGAGCTGATTATGCAAAATTGAATTTTTTGCAAGGTACTAAAAGATTGGACCAAGTTTCACCAAAATTAAAAAGGAGAAAAATCTGCCTTGTTTTTTATTTTTACTACATGTATTTCAATTGTTTAGAAAGTTTAAGTTGATTCCAATTAAAATTGGATTTTTTTAATGATTAATTTTTTTGAAGTTACTCTAAATTGGTTATAAGTCTGTATACATGCATGGTCATGAGCTAAATTTTTGCAAAATTGAACTTACAATTACATGTATTGTCCCCAGTGACCCTAGTGTATTTGTATTAAAAGGTCATTTTTATTTTACTTAATTTTAATTCTATCTTACTTTTCTCCTTCCCACCCTCTCTCTCAGATCCTGATTCAAAGTGTATGTGAGATAGTTGTTCCTAAGCTGATAGCTGAAGATATCCCCTTGCTACACAGTCTCCTTCTAGATGTATTCCCAGGAGTTGCTTACAGGAGGGCAGAAATGGCCGCCCTAAGGAAAGAGATAGCAGCAGTTTGTAAAGACTGTCACCTTGTCTTTGAGAAAGGAGAGCAAGCGTCTCCTCAGTGGATTGATAAGGTGTGTGTGGTTATGCTTCTAATTAAAGAGCACCTGGTCCTATGATGAGTATTAGATGACGAGCCATAAATTGTAAAACTGGTCAAACCGGTTTTGGTATTTGATGAATAATGAGGCACTTGTC